GGGCCTCCTGAGGACGAAGCTTCTCTTCAGAAGGCAGTTAGGAAAGTTCTTGAGGAAATAGGATAAACAGCTGCCTTTGGGGGATTCTTGGAGAGGCTTCCAGGAAGTGCAGGTAGTGTGTGTTGACATTTTCTCAACACCATTTTCCTTTCTAAGTTTGCATACAGATCAGACAAATTCTTTAAGCAACAGTTCTTGAGTGGACAACACCCACCCTTTGTTTACTTCTCTGTGTATTTCCACAGGAAAGAGAGAGAATGAAATTTAGCTTAACCAAGCTGTGGGTTGGAAGTTATAACCTACCTAATTCCTTAATTAAGCTATCAATTAAGCCTGTGTCTGTGCAACCTGCTATGCCTGGGCCTCGTGCCATGTAGAAGTGCCAGCACTGACAAGCTTGTCCCCACAGAACCCGGGGCTCCAGTCAATCTTCAGTCTTCCTTCCTCATGACGTTCTCTTAAGGGATGTTTCAGATAGGCCACCCAACTCATCCATAATGCATGCGAGCTTACAGAATGTTCAAGACAGCCAGCAGACTTGAGGACTCCCAGCTTCCCCAAAGGGAGTGTTTTATGTTGACTGTACAGCAGCCAGACACCTTTTTTGCCCCAAGTGTCCCAAGTTTCAATTCTGCAGGGCAGCGCTAGGCTGAGAGCTTGAGGAGAAAGAAAAGTCAAAGATGGAGAGGGCATTGCAAATTGACTTTGAAACCTAGATGAGTGTTCAGTAGCATTTGCTGAGTGAATGAATGCATGAATGAAAACAAGCGAAAAAGCTAGTGGGTATTAAGCATGGGTGTCACTAAATGCTTTAGTTTTTTAGGACTCATTTCAACTTACAGGAAGGCTGCCCACATACGTGCCATGCTCCCTTTGTGGGATCAGAGCTAGTCTCAGGTTGCAGAGCTCAGAGCCATGGTTGACTCTGGAACCTGGAATGAAGCTCCTAGTCTGTGACCTGCACCTGCGCTGCATCTATTGGTGCATCCCAGATGTGTGCCCTCCCTTGTTTACTCCACCGTGAGTGGTGCTCATGAGTTAAGTACCAAAGCCTTGCCACTGGCTGAACCAAAGCATCTTCTAAAGAGATGACATTCCAGAAAGAAGAAGTCACCCCCAACTTTGTTCTACTCTCCACTGTGGGCAGGCATTTTTTATCTCAAGAGGAGAACTATATTTCACTTACCAATGAGGGCAATGTCTAGGATCATAGGAAGTATGGACTGCAGGTTGGTAGTGTTTCTGAGGTATACTACTACATAATAGATGAAGATGAAGCCACCATACCTCCTTCTGTGCTAGGGAAAGACCAATGTGACTGTATTTCAGTTAAAATATGAAGGATCCATACATGATGAGCTTGGGTGTCCTGTGATCCTTCCTCCGTACTTCAGTGAACATAAGTTGAATATTTGCTTTATGTTGGCAATTTCCTTAAGAATTCATCTGTGTAGAAACAGGTAAGACTTTCTCTCTCTCTCTCTCTCTCTCTCTCTCTCTCTCTCTCTCTCTCTCTCTCCCCCCCCCCCCACTCTGTCCCAGGAAGCGAGCAAGCAAGGCCAATGTGCCAGATGTGTGAGCACCAGGAACAGAAACAGCCTGAGCAGGATGGAGGACCACTGCTGTGCCTTTACTTCAGGTGTTGATGGAGCGCTCTCTGAGAAGTTGGCTTGGGGAATAGCTGGGAAGGCTTTGAGAGCAACCCTCTAGATGTTTGCAGAAGCAGTTCTCAGATAGAAGCAATGGCAGGTGCACCTGTTCTGAGGCATGTGGCGGAAGAACGGGAAGCCAACAGGGCTGTGTTAGACTTCTTTCTGCTTTTTGTTTGGCTCACAGTCTCAAGGTTTCAGCCCATGGCCATTGGGTTCTATTGTTCTTGGGTCTGTGGCAAGGTGACTTATCAAGGCAGGGAGCATGTGGCAGACAGAGAGTAGGGAACAAGACATGTCTTCTCAAGGCATGCTTCCAATGATCTACTTCCTTCAAGTAGGGCCTACCTTCCAACTTCTCCATAACCTCCCTGTCACCATCAAATTAGGAATCCATCAGTGGATTAATCCATTTATGAAGGATAAACACTATGCCTCAATAATTTCCCAGGAGCTCATCAGCTGGCAACTGAGCCCCTAACACGTGAGTCTGAGGAACATTTCATATTCAAAACCATAGCAAGAGCTAATGGGTAGTGAGAAGGTGTCAGGCTGGAGGGAAGATGTGATGGCTAATCTTGGTTGTGAACTTGACACACTTGGGAAGAAGGAACGATTGAGGAATCGCGTGCATCAGATTGACATATGAGCATGTTTGTGGGGCATTTTCTTTTTCTTCCTTTTTTTTTTAAATTTATCTATTTTACATCCTAGCTGAAACCTCCTTCTCCTCAGCCTCCCCTCCCAACCCCTCCTCCTACCCACCAATCCCTTCCTCTTCTGTCTCCATCCAGGAAAGGGCACTTCTCCTATGAATATCAATAAGACATGGCATATCAAGTTGCAGTAAGACTAAGCACCTCTGTGAGGCATTTTCTTGATGGTTAATTTATGTAAGAGGGCTCTCAGCCCATTGTGCATGGCGCCATCCTTAGGCAGGTGGGCTCTGACTTGTATAAGAAAGGCAGCTGAGTAAGCCAGCAAGCTGGGTTCCTCCATGGCCTTGGCTTCCCTCCATTATGGCTGGTAACCTGTAAGCCAAATAAACTGTTTCCTCCTCCAAGTTGGTTTTGGTCAATGTTTTATCACCACAACAGAAGCAAACTAGGACGAGATTCAAAGTGGGAACAGACTACTAGGTCATGAGGTCAATAGGAGGGCTTGGCCAAGATGAGAAGGTGGGTTTGTTTTGTTTTGTTTTGTTTTTTTGGTTTTTGGTTTTTGGTTTTTTCAAGACAGGGTTTCTCTGTGTATCCCTGGCTGTCCTGGAACTTGCTCTGTAGACCAGGCTGGCCTTGAACTCAGAGATCTGCCTGCTCCTGCTTCCTAAGTACTGGAATTAAAAGTGTGTGCCACCACTGCTCAGCTAAAATGGGAGAACTCTAACAAAACACAGGTTGCTTTCTCTCCCAAGTCCCCTTAAGGAGACACCACCATAGCAGGGGACGGGAGAGGTGGGAGCATGTCTCAACTGCTGGATGAGTGGGTGGTAGTTTGAGGAGGGTCAGATCAGTGAGAGTGAGAGGAAGTCAAGTCAGTATTTGAATACAGATCTAAATACAGAACCAAAAAAGCTTTGCCATGGTTGGATGTAGAGTGTAAATCTAGGTTGTGTGTATATGAGGGGGGTGTTTGATTGGACAGTTTCTACACTCACATGCCATTACCTGGAACGGAGCAGACAGGAAGTACAAAGGGCATGACAGTACTGGACATATTTTATCAGAGAACGAGAAGAGCCCATGTAGGAAGAGCTTCCCGTGCTGGCACTGTGGGACATTCAAAGCTGCCGGGAAGCACTAGTGTCTTCTCCATTTCCGAGATAAGCACACTGGCAGCTGTGCTCCTTTGTAAGCTTAGCAGATCTTGTGCAACAGCAAACATAGACCCTGCCTGCTTGGTTTCTCTGCCCTCACCATGCCGTGTCCAGGCTGGTATTAGGTCCTTACCCTGTTAACAGATGGGAGTTTTCTTCTTTCCCTTCCAGAGCAGTGGGAGACCATTGACTTGGTTCTGCTCTCACAGCCTGCTGCTCCAGGGCACTTGGGGAGCTGGTGAATAAATGTGGAAGTCTGTGGCTACTCCCAGGACCTGGACTGAAAGAGCTGCTTACCTGTGAGGGTTTGAGCCTAGGTGTTAGTGCCTGAGGCTGAGGGAGGTCTGAGGAGTGGATGCATACTTAGCATCCAAGTGTCCCACTGGTCTCTGTAACTAGAAGCTTCTGAAATAGGAAGACTGGACTGGCAACTCGGGTATAAACAGTCCAATGCCAGGTATGAGGCAGAAATGAGCCTAAGCTAGGCCAAGCATTCAAAACTAATAACAACTCTGTGTCATGATTTGGGAGCTGGTTGGTGTTCTAAAATAAAAAGCCTGGTACAAGGGGACCCCGAGAAAATTGGGATAATGATCAAATCTTGGGATAGCTAGCTGTATGATTTGTTGTTCAGTCTCTGTATGATGGGAAAGTACAGGGCTTATCTGAAGTCCTGGCTGGATATTTTGTGAGGCTGGACCATCTCAGCTAGCCACTTTGAAGTTATTCTGGATGTAGAATTTTGAAGAAACTGTAACAGAGGCATTCTGAGAGCCTGGATCACCTGGGCTACTTGTCTTCATTGATGTCTGGTCCTTTTGTTCTGAAAACACACCAACATACATACCTGCATTAACACAAGTATGGAATGTGTGGTGTGCACAAATCAGCTAAAATGATTCTGTGCTCTGTGTTTGAGCAGCAGGTAAAAGACATCTGTCAGCTTTATAAGACAATTTGGACTGTATAACCAAACTAATATAAATCTTCATTCATGCCACATGAAAGGACGGCATGTAATAGTAAGTCATGAGGGCTCTGTAGCCAACAAGATTTGTCATGTATTATCCAGTCTCAGAGCTGTTCCCATGTAGAGGAATCAGCATATACGTCACTTGTCTTGTAATTTTTCTTTGTTTCTTCATGTCCACAGCCAAGATTTTCAGGAGGTCTCCCCTGATCAAATCTCATCTTCATAAATTTTGAAGGAATCCATAGCTTTTTGTTTCCTGTGAAAACAAAGGCATAGCCTCTCCCCCAATGCAACATATTTTCTGACTTCCATTCTTTTTTTTTTTTTTTTTTTTTTTTTGGTTTTTCGAGACAGGGTTTCTTTGCACCTTTCCTGGAACTCACTTGGTAGCCCAGGCTGGCCTCGAACTCACAGAGATCCGCCTGGCTCTGCCTCCTGAGTGCTGGGATTAAAGGTGTACGCCACCACCGCCCAGCCTGACTTCCATTGTTAAGACATCCTTAAAATATATAGGCTAGTTTAATTTAGCAGTTTTTCTACAACCTAATGTCTCTCAGCAGCATTTGCCCTTCACTCATCAGCATTAAAAAAATCTAAAGTTAACAAAGCACCATACAGGATCCAGACGCCCTGTGTATTTCCCATCCTATGTGACTTATTCTTTTTATATTACTTTACTCCTTTTTTATGAACTTCATTATTTTTAAACTCTTTTAATGGCTGCTTTTATTCATTTTTCCCTTTTTTTAGCATCTAAGTATATTTTTAAACATTGTACTTATTCAGAGATTTCTTTTCAGTCTGAACCTGACTTTTTGTGTGTCTGCAGCCTTTTCTGACTGTGTGAGCCAAGCCTTAAATGGCATGGCTCTGCTTAGTACATGGCACTGGCAGCTGGCTCTGCCCACTTTGGGTCTACAGGCAGCAGTGAGAACCATGTCTAACTGTCCCAGCTCTGGGAAGTTGCTGAGCCCACTTTCCAGAGTCCCCAAGAGCTGTAGCTGACCGTTGTGAGTGTTCACAGAGAAGCCCAAATAGCAACTGTGGCAGCACTGGCAGGCATGACTTCTCTATTGGTGTGGTTGTGCCATGCATTGGAGTGCCAAATGTAGTTGGACTTTCTTGGCCCGCCAGACCCCAAATAATGACATGGAGACTTATTGTTAATTATGAAAGTTTGGCCTTTACCTTAAGCTTTTTCCCAACTAGCACTTATAACTTAAATTAACCCGCTTCTATTAATCTACATTCTGCTACATGGCTCATTAGCTTTCCTCCATAACTTATGTCTGCCTCCCTCTGTATCTTGCTGGCATCTCTCAATTCTCTTCCCAGAGTTCTTCTCTCTTCCCTGAAGTCCCACCTGTTCTCTCCTGCCTAGCTATTGGACATTCAGGCTCATTATTAAACCAATCAGGCATCTTAGGCAAGCAAGGTAAAACAGTAAATTTTACAGTTTGCTCAGATATCCCACAACATACCTCAGCTGCATGAGTCCATGGTTGGAGACTTCTCCAGGCTCTTCTTACCCACACTCTGCATCTGGCCTGGGACCTGTGTGCTTACTAACCTTGGGCTTTTTTCATGCTTGTACATTTGTGTGTTCTACTGTGGTCTTACTAGTGTGGTGTCTTCAGGACATATGACATTTCTTACCTGCTAACTGTGGGTTCTAAGCTGTGTATCCCCAGAGATAGACTACCAAGCAATCTGCACCCCCTTTTTAACCTACTCGATGAAGATGGGTAGCAATCTTTTCTGTTCCCATGTTCTTGTAAGAAACAAGTGCCCACGGTTGGCCCTCCTTCAAGAGCAGAGGGAATCAGACCCTTCTCCTGGAACCTGTATCAAAGACTGAAAGACTTGGCTGACACATTTTCTATCCCACAGAAGCCTAAGGCATAGTCTGAGGTCATCCTATTTATATCCTGTGTCTGTGACAAGTCTTTTGAGGTCTCTCAGGACTAGCAACCCATTTTTGAGATGAGGAAGGTTCCTATATCATCATGCAAACAAGTATGTTTTCTGAGATTAAATGATTGAGCCATCTGTTTAGGATGGAAACTCCCATGTTTAAATTACATATATTAGAGTAGATTTTAAATTAATAAACCCATAGATATAAAGCCTCAGAAGGGCTGGGCAGTGGACAAGAAAGTGGCCTTGACTTTGGATTGGAATAATAGTCACAGAAACTCAAGTCTGTGAAAGGTGATGGATTCTAGCTTGACTTGTCACCAGTTGCCTCGTGAGGCTGAGGTGGTGAGCAGAGTTCAGGGACATCCATGCTGCTGGTTGCTGGTTCTAGAAACTTCAGTGTGAATGGCACTTAGCATTCCTTGTCAGACACTGAATTATGTGGATAATTATGCTATCAGAAGGGACTCCGGAAGCTCAGTGAAGTCAGATACACTTCAAAGCGGAACTCAAAGGCCCCTAGTAAGGAAACTGGCTGCATGTTAGCATGTGTGATGCCAGGTACTTGAGAAAACCCACTCTGGGGACTAGCTTGAAGGAGCTAGGGAAGGACAAGTGTCCCTCAAGCCAGCAGGTCAGAACTCCCTGACTCATAGCATTGAGTTTATCCCAAGCAGCCTTTCACTAATGCCCTTGTGAGCACAAAGTGCTAGGCAAGTTCCAAAATGCCAAGTGTGAGCAGCGGAAGTGCCTAAGCACCAGGAGAAGTGAGCCAGCCCTGCATTTCCTGTGCGGTCCATACACTAATCCCAGCACCACCATCTCAGTACTGACCCAGGTAGGGGAATTTTTCACTTTTGAGTTTCAGTGTTGTGGACAGATTCCCTGGAGAGGCCAGGCCCTGAGCAGGCACGTCTTATCCTGGCTGGCAGCATGTACTCTAGCAAACAGAACAGAAGTGTAAGAATCAGTGAGGGCTGTAGCCCACTTGTAGACCACTGGCCTTGCACGTGTGAAACCCAGGGTTTGATCTCCTGTACCACAAAAACGAATTTAAAGGGAGAGAAAACGGAAGTAATAATACTTGTTTGGAAAACTTATCTCCATAAAGGGTAAACAGGATGTTTCCTTTATTTCTTTTTAAAACCAGGATTTCTCAGCAGTTATATTATATCACCATGTGTCTTAGGGTTTCTACTGCTGTGAAGAGACACCATGACCATAGCAACTCTTATAAAATATTTAATTAGGGTGGCTTACATTTTTAGAGGTTTAGTCCATTTATCATGGTGCAACATGGTGGTGTGCAGTCAGACATGGTGCTGGAGAAGTAGCCCAGTGCCCTATATCTTGCAGGCAACAGGAAGTGAACTGAGACACTGGGTGGTATCTTGAGCATATATGAGACCTCAAGCTTGCCTCCACAGTGACACACTTCCTCCAACAAAACCACATCTTCTCCAACAAGGCCACACCTCCTAATAGTGCCACTCCCTTTGAGGGCCATTTTCTTTCAAACCACCACAGTATGCAATACTCATTCTCTAACCCCAGTGTGTCTCAGCACCTATATTACATCATTGCGCGTTCCCTAACCCCAGTATGTAGCACTTTCCACACTATTTGAATGTCAGACCATTTCTAGTATTCCCTAGTCTGGGTCAATGCTGAAACGGTGATGCAGGATCATATATATATATATAAATGGTGATGCAGGATCAGTGTGATGACCACACAGACTATGCAGCAACTCACCTCTTGGGGAATAGGTATTAAGGTGACTACTTTTGGGACATGCTGTCCTAGACTAGAGTGGCTCAAAATGTGGCCCTAGGAATAGACAACTCAGAGACAAACTTGTTAACCGTTGGTAATGAGGTGAGGACAGAAATTAGCAGCAAACTTCTAGAAAATTTTGTGGCAACTGGACACAGCGTTTCTGTGTTTTTTGAACCTAATAGTAAGTAATAAGATTTGTGTTTGTTTCACTAATTTCATTGTCCTGGAAACTGACTTTGAGAGGTCTTTTTGTTTTGTTTTGTTTTTTATCTGTGTATAGGATCCTGAAAAATTGAAAAGTTTGTCCTTTCCTTCCCAAGTTAAGAGCCTTCATCAGGGCTGGAGGGATGCTCAGAAGTTAACAAAACTTGCTGCTCTGGTAGAAGACTCAGGTTCCATTCCCAGTACCTACACAGTGGCTCCCAACCTCGTAACTCCAGTTCCATCTGGGACTCTTCTGGCTTCTGCTAGCACCAGGCTCACACATGGGGCACATGCCTCCACACCTACTGTGTGTGTTGCTGGAGATTAAACCCCAGGCTCTGGGCATGTTAGGTAAGTGCTTTACCATGGAACTAGACCCTAGACCCTGTGTGTACAGACTCTTCGACCCATGTTCCTTGTGGAGAGACCCTATTCCTCTTTCTCTCTTTGATCCCTACTGAGCATCTAAACCACCAGGAGCTTGCATATGAAGAGAGACTTTCATGAAGGAGGAAGGTGGCAGCCATGTGTCTCCACTGTGTGTGTGGCTGTCCTCATGTGTCCCTCCACCCTGGGTTCCTGGCTGACAGATCTTCGAAATTTTCAGGAAGTTCAGCATCCCTTCATGAATGGTGGTGGCCATGAAGTATTTAAGCAGTAGGATTCCACAATGCTTGGCTCTTTTTCTCCCTAATGGTCATGTGGTTGTGTGGCCTCCCCTCGCCCCTTCCTAAGTGATCTCTGATAAGGACTTCAGTCTTAAAAACAGTAATTTCTGTGACAATGGTAATTACTTTAATTGGCGCTCTTTAAAGGTAGACCCTTCTCGACCACATCCCCTTGGGACTTGAGTCAAGTTCTGATGTACTGCATTCCTCTGAATCAGTGAGTTATAGTTGTTAATGGGCAGTGTGGGAGTAAGAAAATACTTCCTAACCTCACTATTTTTTTCCATCTAGAATAATTGCAAGTAATTTTTCTTTGTTTCTAGGTAATAGTAGCTAATCAGCTTCATGTATAGAAAGAATGCAGGTCGCAGATAAGGATTGCTCCCACTAAAGTCCTTCAAACAGGATTGGAACTCACAAAGTCCCACAGAGCTCCATTTCACCACAGAAGCCTCTCCTGTCCCCTGGAAGAATCTGGTTGGTGCTCCCTTTTCTAGGGGACTTGTCCTATTATTAAGGGATAGTAGTTGGCCCTACATAAGTTCTTTTATCCCCACAAATAGCCACATCCTTTAGATTATTATTTGAGCTCCTTGTCAAAATAAGGCCACTGATCCAGCCACATTAGAGCCTTTTCTTACTGGGTCTGTCCTGGCTGGCCCCGTCCCCCACCTGGCCAGCTCCTCTCTTTGCATGTGTCACTGACTTGGATCCTAAGAGTAGCTGCTGTTAGGTCTATGATGTGACTTTTCTAGTCTGAGGTGCCATCTCTACCTCCCATTTCCTTTCCCAGATGGTAGACACAGTAGTACCCCCTTGGAGGCCCCCAATAGAGCACACATGGGTGAAGTGGGGATGTGGGCACATTGGGGTCAGCGGTGTCTCATACTGCCATTTCTAGGCTCTTCGAGTCACCTGTTACTCCAGGTAGCATTCCTTGCATTCCTTCAGAACTGCCCACTATAGGGGCACTGATGAGAAGTGGCAAGATCACATAGTTCTCTCAAGGTTTCAAGTTCATGGGCAGAGCCAAGGTCTGAAATAACTGTGACGTTCCTGCCACACTAATTGTCAGGATGAATGGATGAGCATTTTTTCTGCATTAGCCCTTCCACATGGCCAGGGATACTGGTAGAACACAAGGAGATTCTGTCAGACGAGAGCAATTGTACCTGCTGACCTTTACTGTGAGCCATCTCTCCAGGCCTGTATTGCTGGTTTTTAAAGGGTTATGTTTCATGTTGACATTATCTCAGAAGGGGGAGAGAAGATAGACTCCTAGTGAAGCGTGCTGAGGATAACTGTATAGAATGTCCAGCATGGCTGGCGCTCCTCACCTTCCTTCCTTTGCTCCTGATTCACGTGTCTTCCTCACCCAGCCCAGTCCTGCCATAGTCAGGAAACCTAGTGTGACTTCTGCTTTGGATCAAACCAAGGGTCTTGCACATATTAAGAAAGTGCTTAGGCTGGAGAGATGGCTCAGTGGATAAGAGCACTGATTGTTCTTCCAGAGGTCCTGAGTTCAATCCCCAGCAACCACATGGTGGCTCACAACCATCTATAATGAGATCTGGTGCCCTCTTCTGGCCTGCAGACATACATGCAGGCAGAACGCTGTATACATAATAAATAAATGAATCTTTAAAAAAGAAAGAAAGTGCTTGACCACTGAGCTACACTCCCCAGGTCTTATGGTAGGCTCATTCCCTACCCTGCTTTATCTTTATTATCTTTGTTACCTCTCTCCCCCAACCACCTGCTGTAGCAGATGAAGCGGATTTCCCATTTGCCAGGCTCTGTCCCACGGGCTCCTCTGTGCACCCAACCTCCTGACTCCAGAGATGCATTCATATTTTCAAGCCTGGTAGACATTTCTTTTTTGGTTGTGCTGGTGATAGAATGCAGGGTCTCGCCCACGTTAGGTGAATGCTCCACCACCAAGCTAGATCACTGGCGTAGCCCTGCTAGATTATATTGGGCACTTGGTTGCAGAGAGGTGTACTTCGAGATGGAAGGAGCTTTAAGAAAAGTAAAATGTCTTCCACGATGCACGCGCAGTTCAAGACCAGGAGCTAACTTTCTGAATTGTTCCTTAGGAGCCATCTAACTTGTATTTTGAGACGCGGTCTCGTGCTGAGACCTGGAGGTTCATCCATTCAGCTCCTATGACTAGCTAACTTACCCAAGGGATCTTCCTGTCTCTACATCCCCAGTGATGGGATGTACATGTACACGACATCATGCCTGGTTTTTTATGTGGGTGCTAGGGATCGAACTCGGATCCTTATGGTTGTGTGATGAGCACATCACCAGATGAGCCATCTCCCTAGCCCCACAATGCTAATTCTACAGCAAATTATCCCTGAAGCTTCCCAGGGCTGGCAGGCTGAATTTACAGCCCAAGGAGAGATTGGATGGAGACCAGCTGTGTTCCCATTAGCAAAGCAGTGCAGGGGAGCGAGGCGTATTCATTCTGCCTCCCATCAAGGGTCTCACTGCAGGTCTTTACATAATCTGTCCCTAGAGTTCCACAGGGGAAAGGATGTTTTTAAACTGAGGACAAGACTTCGACCCGAACAGGCTGCAAGGTTTGTGGGCTCTTTGTAGGCAACTCTCAACGGAGAAATCAGCCAGAGCTTTAGACGCTTGCAGTGCGAAGCATTGCTCACACACATTCCAGAACAGAGCCCCCAGGAGCACCGCTCTCTGCCTGAAGCAGTTTGTTCAGCCACTGAAGGTGGAGTGTGGGTAGTCCCAGAAACAAATGCACACCTTCGCCCTCCTTAGAGGAGGGTCTGTACTCCTGGGTGTCCTTCAGCAAGGCTACTCTTTACCACGAAATGGCCTTAACATTGACTTGCAGCCTGCCCATCTCTGTCCAACAGGCCAGGGACTGCTGACTCGACTCAGGGCTTCTAGAAACGGATGCCCAGCAGGCAGTTCCCCAGGGGTCCTGTGAGATGCTGTTGGGCCCAGTGGGCTGTTTCTTCCCGCTATGAATCTGTTGCTCTGTGTCCTTGAGGGCGCAGCCATGTCTCCGCAACAGCTTTTGGTTTTTATTTATTCATGTGTGTTCTCTACGCTTGGTGTTGTTGCCAAAGGGTTTATGGCCTCTTAAAGTTTCAGAGCCTCTGATTTTATGGCCACTGTTTGTGGAGGAGAAGTGGTGTTTGGGGAAATGACTGGTTTCATTCTGACTGGATGATGAATGAAGTATTAGATTTTTCTATCTTCATTTCGAGCCCTCACACAGCCTAGAAGTAGGTGTGCATCCCTGCGCTACCAGCAGGCCCGGAACATGGGTTGTGTGACTCTGCTGCCCATGGAGCCTTGCTCTGCTCTCCTAGCGCTGGGCTTATGCAAGGGTTCCTGAAGTTTATCATCCGCAGTCCAGGGGCTCCAAAGTGCGTCTGAGGACGGTGTGGCAATGGCACCATCTGGATGGAGACAGATGCGGCCTACAGTTGCAACACAAGCCCTTTCTGACCTGGCCTTGTCAGGGGTCAGGCTTCCAGCCAGTTAGGTGCACTGCTGGAGACCTGCCGACCCCTCCGGTTGGGAATTCAATGTCTTAGTCAGGGCGAGCTGCTGTGACAAAGAGCTGTGGCTGCTGGTTCCCACATGCTACTTATTTCCCATGGTTCTTGAGGCTGGAAGAGGCCAGCATGGGGCGGGGGTGGGGGTCCTGTCTAGGACTACCTTCTTTCTTATAGGTGACAGCTTCCCCGTTATCTTTATTCAGGGGAGAATTGTTGTCTCTTTGGCCCATTTATGAGGGTCCCAGGATTGGGATCAGCTCAAGCCCCACCTCCCACTACCATACTGCCTTGATGGTTAGGTTTCAGTATGAGAATCTGGGGATATTAGCATTTAATCCACGGTCAACAGAAATGCCATCAGGAGAAGGGAGCTCAGGAATGTGTGCCCCGATGCAGCACAGTGTTCTGTCTGCCCAGTATCATGAGGACTGGAGTCACAAGGCCCACAAAACTTCATCTTGTATCACCCAGTCGAGGACATGGAAGCGACTGGAGTGTTCAAGGCAGTGTGTAAGGAGAGAAGAGAGGGGACCGACCACTCCCAGGTGTGCTGGGCTCATCTGAACCCTGGGGTGTCGTGGCAGAGGAAGGAGTGTCATACCTTCTAAAGCAGCAGTGCAACCCACTGGAGTCTGGCCTGGCCAGTGTCTTGGGGCATGCAGGCAGGCATGGCCCGCTCCAGCATGGAAGGCCCTAATGACTATCCTGAGGAGAAAGAGACCGGCCAGTGCCCACTGGGGCAAAAGATGCCATCAGCCTTGATGCAAACTAAGTCATCTAGGTAGGATTCACAGCAATTCCAAACTACTCTCACCTGAAGTTACCATGGAATCCCATGATATCTGTGTATGATAGTACCATGTAAATTCCAGGTCATATTTTTCAAGCTCTGAAGTCAGTGCTGGATAACCTACCAGGAACAGACAATATTGAGAGTGACTATGCACAATAGTATGTTTGTGTCTCCCCCAAATTAATATATCAAGACCCTCCCACCCCCAATTTGATAGTGATAGGAAGTGGACTTTCAAAGGATGTTGGGTCATGGGGTGCAGCCCTTTGGAATGAGATCAGTGCCGTTATGAAAAAGACTACAGAGAGCCCCTTCTCCCCTCCCACAGCTAGAATACAGCTGTCTATGAAAGAGGAAGTGGGTCCTAGCCAGATACCAAATCTGCTGACGCCCTGTTTACCTTCCCAATCTGCAGAACTCCAAGAAATAGCTTCCTATCATTTATAACTTACCAGTCTGTGGTATTTGCTTAGCATCCAAGTAGACTAAGGCTTTCCAAGGCTTTCTTTATCTTGTGTTTCCAAAATAGCTGCCATAGCTCTATACAATATGTCTGTATTCAAGGCAGAAAAAAAGGAAGTGGAGAGCTGAAGTAATGATGTCTGTTATCCGTTTAGTAAGAAAAGCAACGCTTTTCACAGACTCTCCCTTAGGTCTCATTGGCTAGACATGAATCACACAGACACCCTTCTTGTGAGAGTTCTTGGGAAAGTGAGGAGGGGGCTTGTCATGATTCATTCTGTGGTGCTGGGCATGAGGCCAGAGTATTAAAAAAACAAAACCAAACTGGAGTGCAAAACTGGAGGAGGAGGAATGTCATGTAGGTGTGGACAGGCGGCTTGTCTGGACTTACTTTTGAGAATCGTCTCTCCATCTAAAATCCTTGTGATTGAGACTTGTTTATGATGTCATCTTTGGAGTACACAGGAGTTTTTCGGTGGCTGTCATATGTAAACCAAATGTCCTATACAAGTGACATCATTAGCATCCCGGCTGAGCAGCCCTGCGGTCTGACCTTGGCCTCCCACCTTGGAGGAGACTGCTGAGCACTGCATGCTTCACCAGCTGCTCTGTTCCGAAAGTGTCTGGAAAGAGAAGAAAGCAGGTGGGCCCGAGCTTTTTGGAGGAAGTTGGAGGTCTGAGGA